TTAATAGGAGGATGAAATGAAATTGATAATATAATATGACTAGATCATGCTCGACAATGAATTATAAATTTTATAATTTTTCAAATAATTATAATAAAGTTACGATAAAGTTACTATTAATGATTCTCGATTGTGATCAAGTCAATAATTTTATAGAATTATATGTTTTGTAGATTTCTTTCATTTCCCACCACCATCTTGATATCAAACTCTAGCTTTCTTAGTTTTTCACTATAAATAGTTATTTTGTAGAACTTTAACTATGTTTATTTTATATATTTTAGTTAGAATAACTTCTGGATTGTAAGATGTATGCTATCTATTATTCTTTTATGAATGTAATTAATTACATGAGGCGAAACTTAGATATCAACGATTTTATGGACATGTATATTTATATGGTGATTAAATATGTTATTGATGGAATTTATGGATAATGAGTCTAAAGTCACATATATGTGAGTATTGGTTGCATAAGTAGAATATGGTTGGATTGTGGTTGTATTTAGAGGTTTTAATACGGGACAACATTTTGGGCGTGGATAAATGTTTTTAGATCAAATAGTTTCATTATTTTAAATGAAAAATTCATTACTTATTGTTAAGCGTGTTGAGTGTAAAATTTATATTTGTGAGATGATTAAAAGAGCTTGTGTATGAGAGGCTATATCAATTAAAAAAAATTCCTTTTCTACTTAAACATGACTATTCGAGTTGATATAAAATTTAGGGTGGGTACACAGACCTAGGTTAAGTCGGGTTTTGTTTGGGTTACTTAAGTTAACCTATAGGAGCCATGACTTGTGCTTGTGTGTGTTTTGATATGTGAATATTTGAATTTTTTATAGTGGATTTTTCATTAATTTGATGCGTCGAAGATTTTTTTATTGATTTTTTTTGGTGTCATGTGAAATGATATAAACTTATAAAGCTCAAGATGTTGTCTATGATTTTTGAGATGAAAGATATGTGGCCATGAAATAGGGATTAAGTGGAACATAATTGATTGGGTAGTAGAGTCGTGGAAACACCTCTTTCTTTCGTATTTTGGACACGAAACAATATGTTACTGCTGAAACATGGAAGAATTGAAATCTTAGATCAAAACACTATGTATGAATGGTATGAATTGCCTAAACAAGAATTCTTGAACAGGAGCAACCAGAGTGATTCCTCACTACATCAAATTGTAAAATTGAGTAAACTAGAGATGATCATGGTAATTTTTCTAAAAAAAAAAGTTTAACAAAAAAGTCTTGAATAGTAATTTTTCTAAGAAAGGCTTGATTAAACTATAAAATAGAAACTCATCATAATTTATTAATTTTTTTAATATAACATGTTAAATCATCTATTTTTTTTTTTAGTTTTCTTAACTACCATACATGCTAGTTCAAAGATATCTTTGCTGTAAAAAAATCTTGAGTGGTTTAGCCACTTTCAAGTTTACTATCTTTCTTCTCTAAAATTTAAAAATTATCTTATAAACTTTGACATAAAAACTAAATTTTATAATAGCTTGGTGAAAGCTCATCTCCATATTTGTACTAAGAAGATGGTCATTTTGATGCTTATTTCAATTGATATATTTTTTTGGGTTACAATGATGGACTAGATGATGTTGTTGATAAGGTTAAGGTGATGAGTTGATTTTTTTGATGTTGTATCTAATATCTAGATTAGAAAGCTGTAGCTTTATGTGATTTTTTCCTGAAAAAAGATAAAGAAAAGGAGAGTGTGAATAGTAATTTGAATTTATTTGTTTTAATTGGGTTTAGGTTTCCTTAAAAGAAAACAATTTTTCTTAATTTTTATTAACTTGAAGAAATTATATAATAAAAAATAGATTCATCCATCATAATAGAACCATGTTATAACATGATGGACCTTGTTGCATTTCAATAATTATCGTTTTTTTTTTATCTTGGACAAGAAATGCCAAATTATCATGCTACTTTTTTATAAAAAAATTAATGTTTTTTTCGTTCTTTGGTGAAGAAAAAAATAAAAAATAAAATCATATAAATCATGTATATTTCAATAAAATAGTTAAGTGTGTTTGGTTTGGTAATATGATAATTTTTTTAAAATATAATATCTTTTAAACATAAACCTTATCTTAAAAAATTTAAAAGCATACTTTATAGTAAATATCAAAACATAAATTACCTCCCATCCAATGACACTAACGGTGGAACCCACATGAAAGCAATCTGTATTCAGAAAATTAATTGTGGGATGGCATTAAGAAAATCATGAGAGTACAGGGACGGTTGAGCTAATTAAGTGCACCAATACACATAGTGGAGTTTGGAATGGACAGTGAACGGCGGCTATGAATAAAGCCAAAAGAGTAAGGGCGTGTTGGGGTGGGGATAGGTGGGCCAGCTTAAGGAAAAAAGAAAACGTTAGAAAATGCATTAAAAAAAGCGACAATGTGTAAAGGAGAAGGTGGTGATGGTGGTGGTGGTGGAGTGATTATATTATTTTATTTAGAAATTATTAGTAGCTTTGTAGGTATGTGAATTGTCACAGCAAAGCAAATCTCGCAGAGAGAGAGAGAGAGAGAGAGAGAGGTGGAGTGATTATATTATTTTATTTAGAAATTATTAGTAGCTTTGTAGGTATGTGAATTGTCACAGCAAAGCAAATCTCGCAGAGAGGGGGGGAGAGAGAGAGAGGGGTGGGGGAGGAGAAATTTATAGTGATAGGATAGGTGGGTGCGGGATGGTGGTTTGGAGAGTTTCAAGAGAGGGAGACATGCCCAACTTCTTCCCTACAGCTTCCTCTTGAAATTCTTTGCTTCTTCTTCAACGTCTACTTATTGACTTGCTTATCAGATCCCAAAGGTCTTTCCTTTTATCTCTTTCTCTCGTTCTTTCTCTATTTTATTTGCTTACATCTATTTTTTTTCACTTTTTTTCTCTCTCCTTTTCTCTCTCTCGCTCTCTCTCTCTTGATGTTTTCTTTTTCTTATTTCTGCTTGTTCTTGGTTTGATGGCTTGCATAGAATTTATGGGTATAGAATCCAGGTGGGCATGTTTTTTTTGCTGTTTTATGTGTGCATGTGGAGTTTGAGATCATGGTGATGGGAAAGTGGTTCTATATCTACTTCTTTTGCTATGCTTAGTTCTTGGGTCTCACTACTATTTTTGGCTTTTTTTTCTTTCTTGGTTTCTTGGGTTTTTTTTAATCCCATCTCTTAGACTTTTGGAATTTTTTTTCTGCATTTTTTGTTTATTTTACTCTCTGGTTCTCAAAAGGTTAGGTTTTGCATTGACTGAATTTTTTTTGCCCCTGATATTGGAATGGGTTTCTTGAGGTGTTTTCCCCCCCTGATATTGGAATGGGTTTCTTGAGGAATTCTCTTGTGATTTTATTCATCTTACACTTGATATGCCAAATGCATTCAAGAGGTTACTGGGAGAGTATATGGCACCCTAAGTAGTGGGCTTGCTTGTTGTGGTTGGACTTTGACTCCATGCATGCTTATTCAATGCTATATTTACTAGTTTGTACATATACATTAATCATTCCTGTTAGTTTCTTAGCCTTGTCTTACTTGCATAGCGCGGTTAAATGCTGGCATTACTTTTTAGGTTCCAAAAACTTGGAGCTCCGGTAGGTTTAATTTGCAGTTTACATATTCGTATGTTGATGGAAAAGTGGGGGGAAAACGTCTCGTGGTGCATTTTAATGATTTGAAGTAACGATTTAAAAGTGGTAGTCATTGAGCTCTGAATCAATATGTTGGCCAAGTATCTGGTTTATACATGCTTTTACGCTGCATGCCAAGATCAATGGTTTTTCTTAGCTTCACCGGTTTTGCGGGTTCAGTGGATGACACACATTCTTGCTCAATTCGTAATGAGCTTGAATATTGCATGTTTCACCCACTTTTGGAAAATTTTAGGCACGCCAATTCTTTATAGTGGTTAATCGTGGACTATATTTTCTTATATTGTTTCTTGGGTGCAGCAGGAATCATCTATTGATTGGAAACTCATTCCTGATATTGATGGCAGGTCAGGTTCTTTAAATGGTCAAAACAAATGTTTTGTTTAGTTATTTAGCTTGTTTTCTTAGGAAGAAATACTTTACTAAATTGGAGTAACTGTGAAAGAATCTCATGCTATGGTAGTGAATATTCATTGGCAGCAAGTTAGTGTGAACATTCATGTCAGGGAGTTAATTTTTCCTTTTTTATTGGAAGTTGTGATTTGTTTGTACATTGTATCATAAAATGCTTTCCATCTGTTGATTCTTGTACAATTAGATAGGACCACTTCGTCCCCAACTCATCCATGGTAAATTTGTCAACCACAGAAGCAACCTCAAGCCAGCAAACACACATGTATGCACACCCTTTGCACTTTAGTGATACTGATGGAGAATTGGGTGTTGGATTCTGATGGATATGACTTTAGTTATCACCTGCCTTGAACAAGTTTCCTGGAAACGTGGGTAAACCATGAGATTCTTATGTGATAGCTGAGGCCGGAAATGAATGCAGTCATCAGTTGCTGCATAAGTGGTGTATAAAGTTCTTAAAAACTTGCGTTTCTAACTTCCAAAAATTACCTAGAACTGCTAAAAACAAGTTACTTCTAGTTTAGATTGTGTATATATTTACATATTTAAAAACCTGTTCTTATGTCATTTCAGTATTGAATTATCCTTGTACAGTTCTTAGTGTCTCCAATTCTTTTTTGAGTATTCAATATTTTTTATTCAAATTACAAACTCTAGGCAACTTAAGCTTTCCTTACAGTGGTGGTTTGAACCTGAATGGTTGTTTCAGCATGAGATTATTTCTGTGTGTCAAAAAGCTTCATCTGGTAGTTTCATGGTGAAAAATTAGTCTATTTTGTGTATTTCATCTCGATCTACCTATCCATCTTGATGTGATTTTAATTTTTTTGTCACGTGTTCTTATGTAACTGAAGCAGCCTAGCTCAGTGGATCTTGTGTTTTTTTTTTTTTTTTTTTTCCTGGGACAGCTAAACGGTAATCTCAAAGGCGAGCCACCAAGAATCTTTGATTGCTTAAGGATTTTCTTCAAATTCAGGATACATACATATATATAGATAAACTAGATGGCTTTACGAATTCAGAACTTGCTGAAGAAAAACTTTGATGAACCACACTTTACTGTCAGTTGCCCATCATGGTGGAATTCTAATGAACAGCAATTTTCACCATCTTTATCCAAGAACATAAGCTTTAAAGTAGACTCTTCACCTCAACCTTATCATGAAGCAAAGCAGTTAGGACTTAATCTTCCGGACCAGGAATCGTCCTCAACTCTGTCAATTGGTCAATCTCACAATGAAATGAGTGCCATGGGAGGGACCAATTCACAAGATCAATGTATTTCGTCTGAATCTGGTACTTATTTTTGATAGCACACATTTATTCACTGTGTTATGTTCTTTATCTTATGCATTACACTTGCAAAGCACACTTTTTATTTTTCAACTAGTCTTAGGGAAGACAACTTGTTTCCTCTACTTTAGAGGGCATGCGTGGCTACATATTAGGCTGTGACTTGGCTCTTGAAGCTACATATTGTTATCAAAGCAGAAGAAAAACTTTGGGACATTTATTTTCTTTTCAAGAGCAGTTTTTAGTGCTCCGGGGAAATTTGGGGTCTAGGAATCCCTTCTAAGATAAAATAAGTGTATTTTTTTTTTTTTAAGAATTACAATGAGTGTTCAGTGAGATGTTTGAACTACTAGCGTGTCATCTAAAATTTCTTAGCTGGCTTTACAAGAAGTTAATCAGAGCTTGATTTTTTTCATAAATTCAGTTTGTGAAAACTTCAAACTATACGTAATACATGAAGTGAGTGTTTTTGCATTGCAACCTTCTTTTCAAATTGCTTTTCCCCTGATGCTTTTTAGGTGTTTTTGGATGGTTTTGATGTGCTTATATAAAAAATAAAAATAAAACTGAAAAAATATTATTTTGATGCATTTTCAATTGAAAAACACTTTGCACCACACTACCAAACACACACGAAATCACTTGGTTCCTGTGTGCACATGCTCTTTTTTTCGTTTTCTTTTTGTTGATAATGGAGAAACGCGCCAATTGTATTCAGATGATTTCTTGTTGCATGTTATCAGAAGTCATCGGAGTTCAATTGAAGACAAATCATCTGAATCCTTTGTATGATATATTTAACGTGCCTTTTTCAGCCATTAAACACCCTTACAGTATGTAAGGTTTTTTATTCTCTATCTCATGTTTTGTTTGGGTTTTTGTAAAGTGACATCTGAATTCTACAGAATTGACCAAAGAGCTTTCTCAACAACTGTGTGTGCACGTGTTCCTTTTCCTCTGAATGCATTTTAAAATGTTCTTATGGGTTATGAGATGTTTAGTTTTGGATTTTCAATTCTTCATCTGTTTTCTCATTTGTTGTCTCTTTCCCTCTGATAATGTATCTATGTTTTATCTCATTTCTGTGAACTTGCTTTTTCCCTGACCAGTTGTTTATATTCTGACAATGAAATAATTTTCTCACCTCTTTTTGACTTCCACTGGAATCCTAGTCCCTTTGTAGTTTAGGATATATAGTTAAGAGAGACCCTTTTGCATAGATCAGTAACTTGCTACTACTAGAACTTGTATTACTATATCAGTTCTTTTGATGGATATGATACCCGTTAATATGTTTCCTATGGTACCTACGGTCTCATTTATTATGATGTAAGTTATTTGTTATGCCTTATGAGGCTGAATTGGCTACTTTACCAGCATATTGCTAAGTTACCTTTAACGTGAAATGGTTGTTTTTCCATATACACGAGTCAAGATGAAAGTTGTGGGAAGGGCGTGGAGGGCAAAATGAGGCCGGTTCTCTTGCTGAGTACTCCAGATGGTGTGTCCAATCATTCACAAGCTGATTGTAGCTATTCAGTGGTAGGTTGAGCTGGTTTTATATGGGTTTCTATTTGTCATCTTGGTTACAATTATAGATTAATGACTTTCATCATTTCAGGTTCGTACTCCATATCCATGTGCTGATCCTTACTTTGGTGGGCTGTTTAATCCTTATGGACCACATGCGTTCGTAAGTACCATTGAGTACATAAGTTTACCATCTTTTTGTAGGTAGAGTTGTGCTGTGCTATGGTCTTGTTATCTGTTGCAGCATTTTCTGAGTTGTTTATATGTTACTGACCGTTATTTGTATGTAATGTTCCTTTTGGATTGTTTTGCAATCTACTTTGTTAGGGCACTTTTGGGGCCCTACATAAATGGGTGAAAGATGATCCTGATCCTTTTAGAGTGATGATATAAGAGTGTTTAAAGTATCATCTGTATACTGTTTATGTTCCTTTTGATTTTTTGTAACTATTGCTCTCCAATTTGATCTAATTATCATTGGAACCTGACCAGATTCAGCCCCAGATGGGTTCTCATGTGGTGGGGATGACTGCTGGACGAGTCCCACTGCCTCTTGATCTTGCAGATGATGGACCCATTTATGTTAATGCTAAACAGTACCATGGAATTCTGAGAAGGAGACAATCACGGGCAAAACTTGAGGCTCAAAACAAACTTGTGAAAAATCGAAAGGTATGTCTATTCAGCGACCATTTATTTTCAGGGCTGGAATTTTAAAGGGAGTAGTGGTAAACTGAAGTATTTTGTTATCTCTTTTAGTTGCAATAATGTTTAAAGCTCAATAGCTGGTTCCTTCTTGGGAAAGTAAACCTGAAAGCACACATTGCTATTCCAGCAAAGTAATACATTGCTCTTAATTTGTTATTTATGATCGACTTATCATGCCACTCTTAATGGATTGCAGCCATACCTTCATGAGTCTCGGCACATTCATGCCTTAAATAGGGTTCGAGGATCTGGTGGACGCTTTCTCAGCACAAAAAAGCTCCAACGATCTGATCCCATGTCCTCTAATGGCCAGTGTAATGTACTAGATACCATCCACTTGCACCCAAAGAATGATGCATCAGAACTTGAAAGCTGCCAATCAAGAACTGGTCAATCCAGTGCCTCAAAAACAACCCGCTCTGACACCACCAGCGTCTCCAACAGTGATGTCAATTTCAGGCAGCCAGATCGCCGATTCTCAGGTATTGCTGCTCACCTGGGTGGAGGCGTGCAAATCAATGGTGGGCTTATGAGCAGCGGAACCCAACACCATGCTTCTGTTGTTCGGTGAAAATGCGGAATAAGAAGACCGTGTCACCGGTCCAGGCAATTCATCCTTGGCTCTGTCTCTTTACTTGGTACAAAAAGTGCATGAAGGACACTGTTATGTATTCAATTTCTCTGCACTTTGCTTTCTTTCTATATATACATCTCCGCGTGTCAGCATGGTTTGAAAAGAGTTTGTCTTTGAAATCTATCCTTTGGTTGCACTGATTGTTAAATATGGTAACTTTGCAAGTGTTTGCTCATCAGATTATCAAATAAATATCAGACTTGGGGTTGTAGCTTGGCCTATAATTTTTTTTTAACTGCTACTAAGATTCAGATAAACATGTGTTTGTTTCGTTCTTGTATATGTCGACGCCGAACAAAGCCAAAGGCGTGTTCTTGGTGCCTGCTGCTTGGTTCTCATGTCATTTACAAGAACGCGGCAGGCGAGTTCAAAGTTAAGTAACTTTTAGAGGACAATTGCATTCAGGCAAAATTTCTATAGCTTCAGTATAGTGGGCGTGGAGATGTTTAGAGACATTTTGATGTGAGAATGTCATAATCATTGAAAAGTTGAATGTTATAAAGTTTAAAGTTAATATCAAATATTTATTTGAGGCATTTAGCTAGAAAAACAAGGGACAAGTTTGACATTTTCTTCAAAGTAGACTGATTAACAAAAGTCATTTCTATTTATTCTTATTTGGAGACCAATTAAAAAGATAACCTAGAGATTACGGCTGGAATAACTTGAAACATGCAAGGAAGTCATGCATGCACCTTTGAGAGAGGAATAAGTTGATTTTATGATTGCAACTTGAAAGTTAAAGATACTTCTTTCTTGCTATTTAGCTTAAAGAGAATAAAACTTTAAGGGGTTGGTATGTAAGAGTTAAGAAGAATAAACATTAGACCGGCCGATCACCCATGTGCGGGTGTTTTTTTAAAATTATTTGAACTAATTCAGAGTTTTTTAAAATTATTTGAACCGATTCAGAGTTTATTTGAGATTGTGGTCTAAGCGGAGCTTAGTTAAAATTTATTTTATATGTTTTCGGATTATTTTGATATATTGATATTAATAATAATTTTATAAAATAAAAAAATTATTTTAATATATTTATAAACAAAAAATAATCATTATTATACTCTTAAATACCTTAATTTTGATGTACACCTTGATTATAAAATATTCTTATTGTCATAAAATAAACATTTATTTATTATAAATAAATAAATAATAAAAATCACTTAAACTTTGATATTCACATTTTTGTGCAATAAATCTATCTATATCTCTGCTTCTAACTTACATGTGTAATTAATTTTGTTTTGGCAATTATAGTGATAGCTTTTATGGTGATGCTATCTGTGTAGTATATAATTAATGTAATAATTTCTCTTTGTAAAAATTTGTATTCAATTTTTTTTTTAACTGAAAATAAATTTTTTATTAATCTATAATTATATATAAAAGCATGAATTTTATAAAATACTTTAAATTGACTATAATACCTTTAAATATTTTTAAAAACCATAATACCCTTAAATTAGTTAAATAATTATTATACACTAATTTAATTCAAGTATGTTTCCAATATAACTTTCTGAATACGTGTTTTCTATTTAACTTTGTCTTTAACTTTTCCTAATATCTGTTTCCTATATAATTTTTTTTAATTTCTCTTGTTAGTCATTTAATTCAAGTGGTTGCATTTTTCATTAAGATGGAAAAATTAGTAGAGGTTGTTTGCCAAACACATTATTAACTAAAAATCATAGGATTAATTTTTTTTTTAAGATCGTGTTTACCAAACACGCTTTAAAAACAAAATATTGCACCTTTTCTTTAGTAGATTTTTGATGCACCATACACGCTCTTAAAAAAATGATAAGCTCGGTCCAACCATGTGGGGTGGGTTTCCTAGCCTAGACCCAAAGCCCAGAAACAAATCCTAAAATTAATACGAAAGTTATGAAGATTAAAAGGCAAAAAAAATTTGAAATCGTTGAAGAACATGAAGAAAAAGCAAAGAACCCAGAAACTAAATCAATAATATAGACCAAATTTCACCAAGTGAAAGGTATAGAGAGATAAAGTATGGAAGATCAATAAAGAATATCTAAATGGAAAGACATGTTGTATATTTCATGAATCGAACCCAACAGCTTCTAATCTTAACTCAGGTGTTCAAAGTTGTCAAAGATCAATTGATTCAATTAATAAACAATTAATGAACAAATTAATAGTAAAGAACACTCATATATGAGTATAAGCTTTAATCAAAGCATACAAGATGGACTAAAATTATAGCTTTTAAGAAATAAAAAATAACAGCTATGAACATCCAACCTAAATTCAGAAAAAACCATTAAATTATGTAGAAAAACCTTATACCTAGAAACTAACCTAAACCAAAGAAGCATAACATAAACCTATTAAAACTAACATAGGCATGCCTAACCTGACCTATTTAAACTATAAAAACCTTAAAGAAATAAGAAGAAAAAAAAATTAACATAGTAGTCCAACCAGATCATATCCTAGAATTTTCTAGTAATGCATTTTCATTAACAAAAACACTATTACATCAATTTTGATACATTTTTTTTTTATCATCTTCAACATGTACAAAAGATGTGATAACCCTAACATTATATCAAAGAGTAAAATAAGATTACAATCTAATTATAACAAACACTAATGCATTAAATCGAAACAAAACCAAGTGATCAACCTAAATCTCAAAATACTAAAATTGACATTTAAATATGCTAGCTTCATCATATCAACAATCTTAAATCATTAAATCATGCATTTAAATATATCTTAAACATACATTCCAAAATATGCATATTGACTTAAAACATGATTAGATATATTAAAACAAAAATATTGTCCATTAAACTACAACTAATCATAATAGATGCATAGTAAACATTTGGATAAGAACTTGAAAATTATTAAAAGAGGGGGGTATGCTTATTGAGGTATACCTCCTCATTAAAGATAGGTGTGTACTAGTCGATTGTTGAAACCACTAAAATATAATTCTGACTTAACTATCACAAACAAAATAAATTTATAGTATGATCATGAAAACTAGGTTGCACCTAAGAAAAGTTTTGTTTAATCTTCCTATAATATACTGAAATGAGAAAGAATAGGGGATTTGAATGAAAAATTCAAGAAACAACAATTCCAAAAATAATAAATTGATATGTCGTTAACTTAGTTCAAGGGTCCACATATTCATTCTTATAAATTTGTTGATCATCAAAGTAAAATTCCATATATTCATTCTTATAAATTTATTGATCATCAAAGTAAAATAAATATTATTTCACGTCAAGTAAATATATTTGATATCCCTTAAAGCGGAGGAAAATCAATGAAATTACGAGTACATTTATTAGGAAAAACTTTATAATTAATTTCTTACCACTAAGTGAATGTAATATTGAAAGCAATTTTCATTCAATCGGCAGTAGTTATAGGAATAAAATCTGTGGATTTTTCTAAGTAAACATTCAAAAGCTTGACAATTTAACTTGGTTTATTTTTTTTAATAAATAAAGATGAGAGTTATAACAATGAAATTAATTATTTTGCTTCTTGCTCTAGTGCCTAACAATAATTACAGATTGAAAAAAACTAGAGAGCATACATGTCATCTCAAAACAATTCAATAAGTTTGAATAACAATTAATAGCATAATTTTGAATTAAAAAAAAATAAATACTCGAATCTGAAAGAATTACAATGATAACATTGCTTCTCAGAATTTGTTAACAGAGATGGTGTATCTCTTTTGAACCGAATTCAAAAGTTTAGTTCATAGTTGCTAGAAAATTGACAGTTGCTAGAAAATTGACAAAAGCATAAAAAAAAGAAATATTTTTTGAATCCTCTTTTAGCTATGTTCTACTCTATTTATCCTACTCCTTGCCAAATTTCTTTAGGATTATTAGGCTAATTAGAAGTATTAATATTACTTAATTCTTTAATTCTTTGTCTGGTCTTTAAGGTTGGATAAATCTCTTAGAATTTGTGTTGAAAACTGATTCTATTGCTATCACAACTTTGTTGTAATTCCAACTATGTTGCAACTAGACTTTGTTTCTAACTTGGTTTCTTGTAATATTTGACCATTTTAGTTATATTAATTTATTCATGGCATGTTGGAGGCTTGATTTGCATCTTTCTTGGGTCTTAAAGCCCATCATTTTTATGTCAGACTCTCAGTTGTAGTGGGATGCTCAACACCGTTAGTTTTCTAATCAGATCAGGAGACCCATCTCATCCTTCAAATTGCGTTTGGAGTTTGGCCTTTAAAATGATTTTATCTTACTTGGAGTCCTTCATGAAAGTTTTTATAAATGAACTCCTTGTCAAGGGACATGATACTTTTTTTCTGTAGATGGGTCTAATGTTTTTGTGATCTATTTGTTTTGATTCAAAAATAAAGATTTGAAAAGAGGTTTTATGGATGGCTATATGAGTTTTTTCTTAAATTAAAGAAGAGGTGGCTTGGGTTTGGGGTTTTTTTCCACAAGAATAGTTTTTTCTTTCATAAATAAAAAAAAAAAGTAAAAGTGAAAGAAAAGTAAAATCAATAACAATTAAGGTTATAAAGAAAACATCCCTTTATCTCCACCATTATATAAAAAACCTTTCATATCTCCACACATCTCAAGAGGACTATTTAAATACAATATTGAAAGTTAATCTTCTTTTCGTTCCCTAAGTCAAACCTTATTTCCATTAAAAAAAAAAGACACATGGACTTAAGGATCCCAACAATGTCTTGAGAGGTGCACACAATATTATAGAAAAGATAAAAAATGGCCTCATATACTATTGGTAAAGGCTTTTTAAAATCTGTATATGAGACCTAAAGATTTGGGGGGTTACTGAAAGATCAATATTTATTATTATTTTGTTTGTGTGGGACTATCTTTCACATGTATGGATAAATAGAGGGTTATTACTTATTATTTTTAGACTCATTCAAGCACTAAGCCTATACATGTACGGGTTTGACGAGCTATCAAACCCACCATTTTTTAGCTCAACCAAATACTAAGCCTAAACGTGTATGAGCCTGGCAAGCTATTAAACCCACCATCTCCTAATGTCTATAAATCTAGAAATCTACCAGATCTACCGACGCTAGACCTATGCTCTCTTTAACTCCATAACTATGGGTCAAAAATATTTTATCATAACTAGTTGGAGATATTTCAACCCTAATGAGTCAGAGATATTTCTATCCTGATGAGTCATAAATATTTT